GTTATAGTGAATAAAGTCCGGCGGTCATGGACCAAACGCTCCATTCTGCACTCTTTGTTAATCGCATATTTCAGTTGGATCTGGTGCTAAAAAGGTCGTTACTTAGACATTCAAAAACACGCATAGGCATTTGATGATTTGTTTCTGTCAATCAAAATGATCCTGACAATAAGAATTCAACCCCTACTTGTGTAAAACCGATATTTTATATGAGTAGGGTGCGACTCCTTATTGTTAGGATAATTATTATTGACAGAAACAAAATGGTATTTTATATAAGAAGAATGTGACATCATGGGGCAGAGGGGCGGGGGAAAATAGGTAAATCTTTAAAAATCTAGCTTCTTCTTCTCAACCAATCGAAGGATTTTGACCAAATTTGTTCTAGAGCATCTTTGGACAAAGGAGCCTCAAGTTTGTATAATCGGAGGGTGTGGCCCCTCTGGGTGCATAGGGGCGGGGCCCAATAGGGGAAATAGAGGATTATTTTTCTCCGTCTTTAAAAGTGAACAGATTTAAACCAAATGCAGTCTGAAGCATGCTTAGGGACCCCCTTGTGGACCCCCTTCTTTGGGGCAGATGAGTGGGGCCCATTAGGGGAAATAGAGGAAAACATTTAAGATCCTTCTCCTTCTGTACCGTTGAAGGGATTTTAACCAAACTTGTTCTAGAGAATCTTTGGGCAAAAGGAATTGAATATTCATAAATGGAAGATGTGTGCTCGCCCCCCCCTCCCCCCCCTCCCCTCTCGTCCCCACATAACATGGAAACTCATTTTCTTCTTGTGTTTCCCACCAAAACAGATTTATATGTAGTTCTTCTTGCAACTTTGTTTCTTGTACTCCTTTGATAAACCTGTATGGTAATCAGCAGGTTTTAAATTAAAAAATAAAATACCAGGTGAGCTATTAAGGCCCCTGGGCCTCTTGTTACAATTGTATTTACGTAGTATAGATCGTATTTTGAAGGTAACGTTATGTCTTCTTGAAGGAAGAAGTCGTTATCGGGACTTGCAGGCTTGCAGGTTCTAAACGAAATGCTAAAAGAAGGCGATAATTGTTCACATATCAAATGTCGTAGGAAAATGAGTTATAGTGAATAAAGTCCGGCGGTCATGGACCAAACGCTCCATTCTGCACTCTTTGTTAATCGCATATTTCAGTTGGATCTGGTGCTAAAAAGGTCGTTACTTAGACATTCAAAAACACGCATAGGCATTTGATGATTTGTTTCTGTCAATCAAAATGATCCTGACAATAAGAATTCAACCCCTACTTGTGTAAAACCGATATTTTATATGAGTAGGGTGCGACTCCTTATTGTTAGGATAATTATTATTGACAGAGACAAAATGGTATTTTATATAAGAAGAATGTGACATCTTATTATTGTCAGGACCACTTTATAAATTGACGTAAAAAAATGCCTGTGAAAACACAGTATCATATTTATTATTATGAAATAATTTTATAAGTTGTGTTGTTGACAATATTTTTATTTTTCAGCTTTGAATTTGGTATTGTGGATGAATAGTTCAATGAATGTAGGATGTACCTTTTACATCATTAAAATATTAAAGTTCTAATTTAATATCTGCATATACTTTTCTTATAATTGTTGCGAAAAAAAACGTCACGCACTATGACCCTCTTTTTTATTTTCAAAAGAGGATCATCACCCTCTTTCAGTATATCCAGGGTCGGCAGGTATGGAACACATAGTAAATTCTTTAAAATCCTTTTCTGTAGGAATGAAAGGATTTGTTCCATATCAAGTCTGAAGCATCCTTGGGTAAAGGGGAACCAATTTTGTATAAACTGTGGGTCTGGCCCCTGAGGGGTGGGGCCCAGTAGGGAACACATAGTAAATTCTTTAAAATCCTTTTCTGTAGGAATGAAAGGATTTGTTCCATATCTGGTCTGAAGCATCCTTGGGTAAAGGGGAACCAATTTTTTATAAATCGTGGGTTGGCCCCCCCAGGGACCTGAGGGGCGGGGCCAAAAGGGGACAATTGGGCTAGATTGATTTAAGCCACTTCTTCTCTGGAACTAAGAGATGGATATCAACCATATTTAACTGGAAGATCCCCACCTCAGAACTGTATATACAAATGCTTGGCATAAAGAGACAAAAGTCATGGTATTAGAATAGACCCTGGGGTCTGCCCACAACCCTAGGGATTTAGTTTCTGAGTCACAGCTTGGAAACAGTTGAGATCCTCTCCCCATAACCATACATTAAATTGCTGGGCATGAAAAATGTGATACAGACATACTACAAAAATTGGCATATTCCCTTGGATCTCATTTGGAGAATATTTTGCCATGATTGCTTAGATATCCATGTGAACGATGCAGGCCCTCTGGGCCTCTTGTTTACAACTTATTGTTAACAATGGAACACCTCTTGTTTCAGACATCTGCCCTCAGCCTCAGCAGCTGAACATCTCTACCACTATAAACCTGAATGGACAGTCGTCACTCATCCTAGAGGATTGTACAGGTTTTCAGACCTACGACTACTTCTTCAACAGTAATTACTCATTTGCTCTCACATTTATAGTTGTGGGACTTTGTATACCAGGTAAGCAAATCTAAGCAATTCATATTATTCCTGTATATATTTTGCAGTGTAGAAAAAACTACAATTCAGTTATAGGCAAGGACATGGGTGACGAGTTAACTCACTGATGATTGGTATCACTGGTGGACCCTTACCGTGTATTTTTTTCATTTTTTCGTTTAATTTTCAAAAATCGTTTAGTTGTTCTCTTTTTGTGTGTATTTTTTGGATTATCGTTTATATTTGACGAGCCACCTTTTATTGTTTAAAAAAAAACAGGTGAACTAATTACCTCAGAGGTGTTACCTGTGAATGTCGTGGCCAAAGGGCATTTACAACCGACCCTCCAACTAACACAGGTAGTATTGTGTACGGGTGCGTTTCTTTTTGTTTCCAGTGTTGGAAGAAAACATGTTGTCGTAAGTATTAAAGTAAATTTCAACAGCGGTTAAATGTATTTTACATGCGTTTTTACATTAGGCTAGTGGCCTAGTGCCTTGACTTACGAATTAGATTAGATTTAAGTCTGTGGTATAATATACGATATTCGTGCCATCAGAGGGATAACAATTTTCTCCACAAACGCTGGGGATCGAACCGAAATTATTGGGAGAGCGAGGGGTCTGAAGCTCACGTTTGATAGCACACAGTAGTACAATGACTGTGCGCGTTAGCGATCACGGCTACCGAGGCAAACGCGTATCTCAAAACACCAGATCGAAGTAAATCACAAACACAGCACAGTTTTATAGTTTTAATTTGACATATTAATTATTAATCGAGTGTTTAATAAACACGTATTTAAGACAATCAGGCCGAATAATGTACAAACACGACACATTTATTTATATATATTTTTATTACAAATCGAGTAATAAGCAAACTAATTTCAACAGACACGGCCGAAATAAATCACAAACACGGCACAATTCCATAGTTTTATTTGACATTAATGGAGTATATAAAGCATGTATTTTAACGGCACAGTTCCATTGTGTTACAAACACGTATTTCAAAACACAAGGTCGTTGTAAATTGCAAACACGGCCCAATTCCATAGTTTTATTTTGACATATAAATGGAATACTAAAACATGTATTTTAACGTAACTGTTCGAGTATGTAACAAACACGGCACAGTTTCAAAGTTTAATTTGACATATTAATCTAGTGTTTAATAAACACGTATTTAAGACAATCAGGCCGAATAATGTACAAACACGACACATTTATTTAAATATATTTTTATTACAAATCGAGTAATAAGCAAACATATTTCAACAGACACGGCCGAAATAAAACACAAACACGGCACAATTCCATAGTTTTATTTGACATATAAACGGAGTGTTTAAAGCATGTATTTTAACGGCACAGTTCCATTGTGTTACAAACACGTATTTCAAAACACCAGGCCGAAGTAAATTACAAACACGGCACAATTACATAGTTTTATTTGACATATTAATGGAGTGTATAAAACATGTATTTTAACGGCACAGTTCCATTATGTTACAAACACGTATTTCAAAACACAAGGTCGATGTAAATTGCAAACACGGCCCAATTCCATAGTTTTATTTTGACATATAAATGGAATACTTAAACATGTATTTTAACGTAACTGTTCGAGTATGTAACAAACACGGCACAGTTTCAAAGTTAAATTTGACATATAAATCGAGTATGTATCAAACACGTATTTCAAAACACCAGGCCGAAGTAAATTACAAACACGGCACAGTTTTATAGTTTTAATTTGACATATTAATCGATTGTTTAATAAACACGTATTTTAGACCATCAGGCCGAATAAAGTACAAACACGACACATTCATTTAAATATATTCTCTATTACAAATCGAGTAATAAGCAAACATATTTTAACAGTCGCGACCGAAGTAAATTACAAACACAGCTAGCACAGTTCCATAGTTTAATTCTGATTACACCAAATTATCATAGGTGAACAAAGCACAAACACGTTGTTAATTATGAGGCGAGCTGTCAACAGACAAGTATTCACACATGAACAGAGCAACCTGGTGATGCTTGACACCGCCTGCGGCAGCTCGAAATGGTCGACAGGCTACTACTCGTTAGATCAAAGGCCTAGCTGACCGCCGGCGCAGACCTGTTGCCGCGGAGCACAGGCAAATAAAGGGGGTAAAATAAAAAGCCACGAGTAAAATAATAATCCAGGAGTACTTTAATTTGTTAGGGGAGTACAATGAAACACGTACTAAGGTAGTTTGATTCACTTGTATTTTTTGATCATACTGTACAATACAACACGTTCTACGGATAGTTTGATCCACTTGTATTTTAATCATGCTGTACAATAAAACACGTACATGGGGTACATCGATTCGCTGATCATGTTGTACAATATAACACGTACTTTGGGTACATTGATTCGATGATCATGTTGTACAATAAAACTAACGTTTCGTAAAACAAGGAAAACGCCCACTTTATGTTGGTGGTGTAGAACAAAGGATTAATCGTGTGTTTAGTAACAGAAACATCACTTTTAGTGCATGCAATGGAAAATGACGAACCAATTACAGCGGTGCTTTTTACGATTCAGACTACCGGTAGCCAACGGCTTCGTACGTCACGGGTGAGCGCTCTGACCGAGCACAGGTAAACTTGACTGGTGCGAGCAGCCGATAAGATAAGCCTGTCGCGGACGAGAGCGTGGCCGGTCGGCAGACATGAAAGAACCCAACAGAACAAAAGATATTCGAAAATTAAACGATTTCTGCTAAAAATAAACGATTTGCCGCGAGAGGTCAACGCTCCACCAAATCGTAACACTGTTCCTTGAAATGTAAACATGCAGTTATAAAACAAACTCTGTTTCGTGAAAAGTAAACATGCAGTTATAAAACAAACTCTGTTCTGTGAAAAGTTAACATGCAGTTATGAAACAAACACTCAGTTTTAAAAATAAACGGTTATACTCAAAACTAAACACAAGTCTTCGAAGAATAAACGTCGGTTTAATCAATAAACGGTAACTAGTCAAATATAAACGATAATCCAAAAAATACACACAAAAAGAGAACAACTAAACGATTTTTGAATATTAAACGAAAAAAATGAAAAAAATACACGTTAAGGGTCCACCAGTGTATATATGCATGGTTGCAGTTTTTGTCAAATTAATCGGTATTTTCTTTTTATACGCCCATCAAATTTGACAGGAGTATTATGGTATGGCTGTCCGTCCGGTGTAAACTTTTGTTTGTCTGGCAATCTCCTCCTACATTTTTCGACCGATTTCTTTGAAATTTGGTATACGTTATAATCATAATATGAAGTTGTGTCTCCCTTAAAAAAAAAATGATTCGACAATATTTGCAAAAAATTATTGCCCTTTGTTTATTTCAGTATTTGATTTTTGTCCGGCAATCTCCTCCTACATTTTTCGACTGATCTCTTTGAAACTTAGTATACATTATAATCATGATATGAACTTGCATCTCCCTTAAAAGAATTTTGATTCGACGATTTTTGCAAAAGTTATTGCCCTTTGTTCATTTCAGTATTTGATTTTTTTATCCGGAGATTTTCTCTTACATTTTTAGCTCACCTGGCCCAAAGGTCCAAGTGAGCTTATGGCATGGTGCGGCATCCGTCGTCCGGCCGGAGTCTGGCCGGTGTCAACTTTTTACTTTGAACAACTTCTTCTCAGTAACCAAAAGGCCTAGGGTGATGATATTTGCCCAGAAGCATGCTGTGATGAAGGGCACAAGTTTGTTCAAATAAATGACCTTCATCCATTTTCAAGGTCACAGGGGTCAAATATGTTAAAATCTTCAAATAACTTTTTCCATATAACCAAGAGGCCTAGGGTGATGATATTTGGCCAGAAACATGCTGGGATGAAGGCTACCAAGTTTGTTCAAATAAATGTCCTCGACTCATATTCAAGATTACAGGGGTCAAGTATGTTAAAATCTTTAAACAACTTCTTCTGAATAACCAAGAGGCCTATGGTGATGATATTTGGCCAGTAACATGCTGGGATGAAGGGCTACCAAGTTTGTTCAAATAAATGACCTTTATATTCAAGGTCACAGGGGTCAAATATGTTTAAAACCTATAAGCAACTTCTTCTGAATAACCAAGACGGCTAGGGTGATGATATTAGGCCAGTAACATGCTGGGATGAAGGGCTACCAAGTTTGTTCAAATAAATGACCTTTATATTCAAGGTCACAGGGGTCAAATATGTTTAAAATCTTTAAACAACTTCTTCTGAATAACCAAGAGGCCTATGGTGATGATATTTGGCCAGTAACATGTTGGGATGAAGGGCTACCAAGTTTGTTCAAATAAATGACTTTGACTCGTATTCAAGGTCACATGGGTCAAATATGTTTAAAACCTTTAAACAATGTTTAAATCTTTAAATGATTTGTTCTGTATAAACAAAAGGTCCAGGGTAATGATATTTTGCCAGAAGCATGCTGGGTTGGAAGACTATACACTCTGTTCAACCTAATGTCCTTGTTAGACATTCAAGGTCACGGGCATCATATGTTTAAATCTTTTAATAGGTTCTTATGAATCAAACACTGATATTCTGCCTGTAGTTGTATTTCAGTCAACTTTTAAGATAACAAGTGTGAGATTTATAGTATACCAGGTGAGCCATTCAGGCCAATTGGGCCTCTTGTTATAGCATGTCAGCTAACCACTCTTTGAATGGTGCAGATCTTATTTCAATGTTAGAAAACATATAACACTATATGGCATTTGGTGGGCATATATTGTTACGCCCCGTGGTACTCTTGTTACTTATATCATCTACTATCCACGATATTTCCCGTGCTCATACCATCTGTTGTCCAACCTGATCGAAAACTTACAATGTTGGACAAACCTCAGATTTGCTGAATACTATGCAATTTCCTCGAACTATTGATCTGGACCCATAAGTTTGAGTTAGTGGGGTTTTACTGTAATAGAAGAAAGGGATAAGTTATGGTGAAATGCAAAGTTAGCTGCTAAGCAACATCGTGGGCTGATTAAAATGCCTCAAATCTCTAGTCCAAGCATTACTATGTCATCTATCCTTTAACATGTTAATGAAGGCAAAAATAAGTCTAGTCATCACTTATGTTCTTTTAAAATGTAAATGTCATTTTTTTGTCTCCATTAGCAACTGTTGTCATCACGATCCAGCTGGCAAAGCGCAGGATAAAATCAATGACATTGAGAAAAAAGAAAGTCGCAAAGTCATTCAAGGGTGGTACCGAACCAAACGTATTTGATGGTAAGTGCATCCAGGATTTCAGTATTTTTGTGAACATTTTTGGCAAATTTCTCCAGCATTGAAATATTAGTTTTATTACAGGAGCTTGTAGTTCTTTCACATACTAAAAGTTGATAAGTAACTATCCATAATTAATGAGATAACCCCTATGCTATCGTCACTTAATTGTGTCAGATAAACACACACTGTCAGGTTTTACAAGATAAAACAATGTCCTTCTTTCAGTTTTGGAGTGGGTTGGACACAAGGAAGGAGAACGAAACATCAAAGTCCGGTTTGATAGCAAGCGACGTAAGATACATGTCAGTGATAGGCGAGGCAAACCACTGCGTATGATTGACTTACGGCAGCGTGGGGAACACCAGATTCGGCCAATCTATGTATGGCTGGAAGATGATCACTCTCTCAGCATGTGTTCTGTACGCGCTGAGGGCGAGATTGACCTGGTATGGAAAAACTAATGAGAGATTAATTATATAATGCAATTTCAGAAGCTGCTATTTAATTTGCTTCTGCCAACATTTCCTGATTCATCAGTATCTACTGCACTAACATACAGTATTAATGAGAGGTTAGTTTAGACAGGTCTTAGTGTATCACTGTATTACTGAGAGGTCAGTTTAGCCAGGTCTTAGTGTATCACAGTATTAATGAGAGGTCAGTTAAGACAGGGATAAGAATATCACAGTATCATTGAAAGGTCAGTTTAGACAGGTCTTAGTGTATCACAGTATCAATGAGAGGTCAGTTTAGACAGGTCTTAGTGTATCACAGTATTAATGAGAGGTCAGTTTAGACAGGTCTTAGTGTATCATAGTATTAATGAGAGGTCAGTTAAGACAGGTATAAGTATATCACAGTATCATTGAAAGGTCAGTTTAGACAGGTCTTAGTGTATCATAATATTAATGAGAGATTAGTTTAGACAGGTCTTAGTATATCACAGTATTAATTAGAGGTCAGTTTAGACAGGTCTTAGTGTATCATAGTATTACTGAGAGGTTAGTTTAGACAGGTTTAGTGTATCACAGTATTAATGAGAGATTAGTTTAGACAGGTCTTAGTATATCATAGTATTAATGAGAGGTTAGTTTAGACAGGTTTAATGTATCACAGTATTAATGAGAGGTCAGTTTAGAAAGATCTTAGTGTATCAGCTACTTACTTAAAAACAAAGTTTCCAATATCATAATTCGTAGTCAGCAAATTTATAAAAATCTAATTCACATGTGTTTATTTGATTTCTTAAAAGATTCTACAGTTTGCTGACATGGAAGACATGGCAGAGTTTGTTCAGAAGCTGGAGACTTTCCTTAAATCCATCAACGTTGAAATGAACCAGACCCGCATGAGACACGACATCATAATCAACAATGCTCAGACCAAAGACAAACGACAGAAACTCCTGGATAAATTCTTCCGAATCGTGTCACTTCAGGTATGTTGAAAATTATTCAGAGATACATGATGTGATGAAAAAAATTCCAGTATATTAAGTGCTGAATATTACCATGAAGTATTTTTAAATGGTGTTGATGATGAGCGTGAATTTCAACAAGTGAAGTAAACTATTGATAGTGACAAGTAAGCTAAGTGAAAATACATCTTAAACATTTGCATCTCCTGACATAGTAAACATACATAACCAAATGTGTTGTAGTATGTTGTATTGTGAATTCTAAGCTTAAAGCACACCTCTGAGGTAAAGAGACTGCAGGGTATTTAGCACATTTTAATGAAGTACTGGTTGGGTAATTAACAAGATAGGTTAATTTGTAATCAGTTAAGTGCAACAAATGGAGTGAAATTGCAATTAAAAAAAAAGTCAAGAACAATTTAAGCTTATGTATCACAGCATTACAGCATTGAAGAATACGTACATATTTGAAGACAGCAGGTCCGGTTTTCAAAAAAAAATGTTAGTTAGGGTTTTTCTTAAACTTATGCAATACTTTCTCTATGGAGAAGTTCAAGTTTCAGGAAAAAATCTTAAAGAGAAAAAGAAGAAGTTTTGTAAATCTGAAATGCATTGATTGCCACGAAATGAACACTATACCTTGGCATATATTTACAAACACTGTTTGGGGGTCAGAGGTAAGTTGACAACAAATCTGGAACTCCAACCCTTGCCTACCACCACACCAATGCCATCAAGCGCTCTAGACCTCACGACCAATTGGGGTGGGTTTATTGACTTTCACAAGTCTTTTTAAAAACAACTGATTTAATCATCTGATCCCATGATTGTTACAGGCATTCAAGGAGACTGCAGAAGACATTGCGATGGAACCCTTGGACCAGGACACTGCCAAACAGCTGGCTGATATCAAACTGACACGTACAGAATTCGCAGAGGCCTTTGGTCTGAAACCAACCTCGATGTTTGTCCGCAACATGTTCCTCCTGGTGGATTCTGATAAATCTGGATTTGTAAACTTCAGAGAATTTTTGGACTTCTTCGTTGTTTTGTCTTCACGTGAGTTTTTGATTGATATCTAAAATAGAAATTTAGTCCTCTTTCATTGAGACTGGGGGATTAAGTGTTTTCTATTCCATCCATCTGTACAATTGTCATGTGTCTGGACTATTTTGAAAGTTTGGATGAAGGATTTTTTTCATGAAACTCGATGAACGTTTGTATCATAAACAAACACTGTGTTTATGTTAGCTGGTGTGCTGTCAATACCATATGTTACACTTCGATTTGCCCACAACTCGGGTCTAGGCAACAAAAACAGATCAAAATTAAATTAAACTGATTATTTTTGTCATCTGGTTTACACGTCTAGGAGTATCTTACATCAGATTTGATGAAGTTTTGTGTACATATGTATTGCCATTAGCTATAGTGTCATTCCCAGGTCTGTACCAAAAGGTTAAAGGTTACAGTGAGGGGTCATACTTAAAGTCATGCATACACTTGTCAAGATATTGCATGGTTTCAAAATTGGTGATTACGTTTTACAAAATCTCATGGATCACCCGGAGTTATCATGACTAGCACTGTTTAGTGCATAACAGTATGTTCTCAGGTTCATGGCCTCAATGTCAAGGTCAAGAGGTCAGAATTAAATTGTTATTCTTTCTCAAGAAATATTCTCTAGTAGAATTTTGTATCCCTATACCCACATGTGATAGGCTCATTCATGATTATGTGTTTAATGGCTACTGTATACATTCTGAATAAGATTCATCGGTTTGGTTTGAATATATAGGCTAAGTTTGTTTTGAACACAAACATGAATTGAAAACTTATTTTTGAGAGCTATCGAAAACATCTGTTTCCTTTTTTCAAGCAAAGAGTGCAAATGGTCGGTGTCTCGACTCTAAACCGCTAAAATGCCACAGTATGCCGAATCAAACCATCAGTAAAGCATGCAAGCTGTCAAAAATCATAGAGACATTTCGCCCAATTGCACTCTAATACTGCAGTCAGTTAGGTGACAGGTAACATGTTCACCGATTCCGACCCTTATAAACTACTGTATGTGTGGCGGTATGAAAAGGTAATTTAAAACATTTTCAGGGCTGTGTCTAAAAGTCTTATATAGAATTACTTTAATATGCTGGAATCACAACTTAAACACAGTGTGAAATAATGCAAAAACAATGCTACCTAAAGTCAAAAGTGTATACAGTATATGAAACTACATGACATTGTATATATATTCTTAACATGTGAGTTCAGGCCTGATTATAGCTTTTTAACTATATTTTTCATCTTTTATATTTTCCAAAAATACAGACATTCAGAATTGATACTTCATATTTATTGATCAATCCTAATTAAATATAAATGCAAACTTTATTTATTTTACAACAATCATGAGACAAGTTATTTAAACATATAAATCACTCTTGTTGCCTCGTATGACACCGCCTAATTATATTAAATGACGATCCACACACAAGAAATACAACCAATGGGTAAATTTTCAGATATTTCTCAAGAACACCTAATTGAATTTTTTTAACAGTTTTTAAAGATAATCAAGCTTTGAATAATTGGTCTCTGAAGTCATCTTTTACATGGTATTTCTATTGTATTGATCAGAGGACTCCGACAGTAAAGTGCAGCTTATCTTCAACATGTACGACATTGGACAGAAGGGTGTACTCTCCAAGTCAGACTTCTCTAAGATGATCCTGTAAGATACCGTTTGAAACTTTGACTTTTCAACTCGTTTGATAGATACAGTTTAGAGAAGTTCCTCCATATTTTTGCTTAATTTACTCTTAGAAAAAATAAAGACAGAAAGAGGCGATTGTTTAAAACTTTGACTTTTCAATTTCATTGGTATTAACAGTCTTGAGAAGTTGCCGTTTAATTTTCAAATTTTACTTTTAATATAAATTCACTACACAAAAAGATAAGTCTTTGCACCTTGAATATTAGCTGTATACTGATATCTAAATGATTGTTACAATGTTTCAGAAGAACTCTATTTTTCGTTTTCTTTCTAATCCAGGTCTCTACTAGACCTGTCAGATTCCAGCTTGGACAAGAGTAAGGTCACAGATCTCATCTCCTCTATGTACCGTGTCGCTAACGTGAGGGAGGGATCCGAAATGACATTTACAGACTTCAAAAAGATCTTTGAAGATGAGGAATATGCCAAGACATTAGCTAATGCTACACTGGATCTAGATGGTAAAATTTCACTCTTCATGAGCTCACCCAGCTGAAGGCTAAACCACTTTAATATGTCTTGGTACTGACTTTGGTCTGTCTTCCTCCTTTAAAAGACTACTTGTCCAGAAAGACTGAAAGAATTTTTGATATGAAGCATCCCTAGGCTAAGGGAAACTAGTTTGTTTAATAAAAGATACATGAAGCTGAGGAATGAACACAATTATGTGAAATAGGAGTCAGTCTTGAAATACTACTACTAACGCAGTCTCTCACTAAATGTGACTCCCTCTTTGGGCTGGGATTGGGGGCCAACATGGCAGATAAGTTGCCCTTCAACAGCAACATGTATTCCAACATTCTTTAAGAGAAAAATTCAAGTCTAAAAATACCGGGTTTTTCCTGACAGGAATGTCTCATGAAGTTCAAACGCATGATCCGAGGAAGAAGCACGATTCCACCCTCCAGTCAAGGAGCAAGACTCTAATGAGGAATTACGAGTAAGTAGTCCTCACCAAAACCCACTACAAAGTAACATGTTTCCTGTGGGCTTGAATTGAGGTCTCATTTTAAAATGTTTGGCAGTATGACTTAACTCATAAACCTTGCAAATTCGGTGTTATTGAATATCTTATCCATACATGATTATATAAAAGTGCTTATGGAACCATTTAAAAAAATAAAGATTTTGATACTAAATATATCTGAGGGTTGTGATGAAGCATACAGTGTATGGTGTAGATCTAATTTCAATTCATGCAATACATAACATGTCAATGTTTCATAAACATCTTTGTTTTATATAAATGTAAAACCATAAATCATGATCACACAATTAATTAAATATCCATGTGGAAACTTATGAGAAGGTTTAATGAAACTGCTCAAAAAATATTTCAATGAAACTTGTGATGTTTTTAGCTCAGAGCCAGGCCCCGCTTAATTCTTAGTTCTCAATTCTCAATTAATTCAAGCTAGGCCTGGCTCAGCTTCAGCTTTTCACTTTAACTCATTCACCTTCAAAATTGCATGAGGAACTATTCCAACTTTTGATTTGGAAGAGTTGAATTGTGTCTCTTAAGGGGTGAATAAGTTAAATGATTCCTTCTAATTGCATTAGAATGATGATTTTTGACAAGAGGCAGGCTCGGATGAAGGGCTATGAAGTTTGTTCAAATGAATGACCTTGACACACTTTCAAGGTCACAAGGATACAATTTGTTGAATTATTTAAACAATTTTTTGCTGAATAACCAGAAAACCTGGGGTTGGGAATTAATCTATAAATACCTACTCCTTAAAGTAACAGTGTTAGGATTTTGGATTCCTTTGGCAAAGGAGCATCCCTAGGCCAAAGGAATTTTATAATTTATAAAGTAGGATGCCACCCATCTTACCTATTTCCACTGTAGTATCAAGTTACCAGATTTTTTTTTTTAAATTTTTGTCTAGTTCAGATATGAAAAGAAACTGGTGATAGATACAGGCCAGATGGGCCTCTTTGTCTTTATCATTAATCTGTATATCTGATGGCTATACATATTTCTATATTTAGATGTTACATGTATTTATATACTGTTAATCATCTTTTACATCCTTACGTTCTCTGCACCTCTGGAATATGTCATACCAATATGGAAGGCTCAGTGTACATCAACTTGTGGATGAGACAGGAAGACTAGTTTGATCCTTTGATGTACATAAAAAAAACTCTCGGTTACCTAACAGTAAAATTGACTTGCTTTGAAGTCTAAGGGGTAACTCCTCTGTATTCTGCAAAGGACAAGTATCAGTCTAGTGATTGGTCTTTTTTTTTACCCAAGACCAATCAAATAGCTAGCGCTGCCTGTTTTTAATTTTGCTATGACAACTAATCCAGGGTGTAGAAAGCTAAATTAATCATAACCTCTGGAGTATAAATCCATAGAATGCATTGTACAATTCATAAGACATTTAATTTCTTCTAAAATATTTTTTCCTCAATACTATTTAAAAAGGATGTTGATAGTTATAGTAGTCCGCATCTGAACCTCCAAATATATTCTCATGAACTGTAACAGATTTTTAGGAGCCCATGATCATTTAATGTATTTTTTTTTTATTTTTTTTAGAAAATGAATGTTCTCTTTTGACGATGTGAGTCCCATATCCTGAATCTAGCAAAAATCAATTTAATTCGTAAATATTACAATTACATTACTAGAGCTTTTACCATAAATGTAAACAGGTTTTTTTCTCAGTGTATTTTTACCACAAACATGTGTATGATCACTTGAAGGTTGTTGGTATGATTTCCACACAGTGTATGATCACATAATTATGAGATATCTTGTAATTTTGCATGTTATTTCAGCAAAGGGGGAAAGTCAAAGGGGCTGTCAAATCGTAAGAGAGGAACATCAGTCAGAGTGACAACAACAAAGATCATATTTCCAAAAACAAAGACCGGCCAGCTGTGGTTCCAGTTTACGTCGTGGGTGGCCACCTACCAACTAGTCATCTTCTGGACAGTTCTTTACACACTCATTCTCATGGGCATCTTCGCGGAACGTGCTTTCTGTATGTTTATTTCAAAATATAAATAGATGCAGATTAGGGTACACGGGGGTGTTTTAAATTCATATTGCAAATAAAAGATTGTAAAAGTGATCAACAGATTAGCCACTTTCCGTCATCATACTAATAGACAGATTTTTTTGTTTTGGTATGCTGATGTAACACAATTAATTATAATCTATTGTTTCGACAAATATAGATGGTCAGTTTCAGTTACACAACGTAGTCCCATTGCACAGGTTGTCCGAGCTATTCCCGACATACGTGATCAATTACACAATGCCATAACACTGACTGTCAGGGGTCCATAAGCCCCACATGCTGATAGTCAATTAAGACTTGAATCATTGTCCGAGATATTCCCGATGTAATCAATTCTATTCCTGATAGATATACGTAATCTATTTATACAGGTTGTCCGAGCTATTCCTGATATAATTAAGCCCTACATAATAAAGTACACAAAGTCGTACCACTGACTCCAATGCATGTTGAATTTCAGACATATACATTGTTTAATAGCTGCTAACCATAGGGATCATTACTGATACATACACGGTATTCAGGTATCTGGGCCTAATCAGGAGAACTGTGTAACGGCAAGCAGTTTTAGATAATCAAACTATGAAAGTGTACATTTAACTGTTAATAGCACTTAAATTCAATGAAAGTTTTGTTGTTATTGTTTTCATATTCTTGAAATGATATACCAAACATAATTATCATAACTTTATTGTATATTATTGTGTCAAGAAAAGCTTTTCCTGGAAACATGCATATCATTATTGTCACCTGAAAAATGTTAGACAAAAGGGGTATGATCTTCTCGTAAATTACTGCCCCTGAGAAAAGTCCTGTCCATGATCCAGTAGTCTAGTTTAGAGATAAGATTCTATTAGCTTAACCTTATAAATGTATACCTGTATCATGTCACATCTGCACCTGTTGCTTTTTAGGTCACCTGAGCTTTAGCTCAAGTGACCTATTGCTATCCGTTTTCGTCCGTCGTCGTCCGTCGTCCGTCGTCCGTTAACATTTTACATTTCAAACTTAAAGTCAAGTTCTGCTGGGCCGATTGAACTGAAAGTTGGTAGGAATGATCGCCTCATGGTCCTGACAAAGTGTTGTTATTTTTCGGGTCGATCAGAAATCCAATATGGCCGCCACGGCCGCCATTTTGAAAACCTATTTCAAACTTAAAGTCAAGTTCTGCTGGACCGATTGAACTGAAAGTTGGTAGGAATGATCGCCTCATGGTCCTGACAAAGTGTTGTTATTTTTCGGGTCGATCAGAAATCCAATATGGCCGCCACGGCCGCCATTTTGAAAACCTATTTCAAACTTAAAGTCAAGTTCTGCTGGACCGATTGAACTGAAAGTTGGTAGGAATGATCGCCTCATGGTCCTGACAAAGTGTTGTTATTTTTCGGGTCGATCAGAAATCCAATATGGCCGCCACGGCCGCCATTTTGAAAAACTATTTCAAACTTAAAGTCAAGTTCTGCTAGGCCGATTGAACTGAAAGTTTGTAGGAATGATCGACTCATGGTCCTGACAAAGTGTTGTTATTTTTCGGGTCGATCAGAAATCCAATATGGCCGCCACGGCCGCCATTTTGAAAAACTATTTCAAACTTAAAGTCAAGTTCTGCTAGGCCGATTGAACTGAAACTTTGTAGGAATGATTGACTCATGGTCCTGACAAAGTGTTGTTATTTTTCGGGTCGATCAGAAATCCAATATGGCCACCACGGCTGCCATTTTGAAAAACTATTTCAAACTTAAAGTAAAGATCTACTTGGCCGATTGAACTGAAACTTTGTAGGAATGATCGAATCATGGTCCTGACAAAGTGTTGTTATTTTTCGGGTCAATCAGAAATACAATTTGGCTGCCATGGCCGCTATTTTGCTACTAAGTTCTAATAGGCCGATCTCACTTAAAATTGGTCTAGGAATGATCAGCTCATGGTCCTGACAAAGTTAAGTTAACATTATACTATTTTTTACTCAAATTGGTACATATTTCAACAACAAAAATAAATACTATATACTCAGGTGACCGTTAAGGCCCATGGGCCTCTTGTTATATATTATATGGAAGTCAATGTGTACCAAATTGCCACTTTACCTAGTTATTTGATCAGTTTGGAAGTATTTTATCTTGTGGTGTCAGATTTTAAAAACAAAATATGATGATGCACCTCTCAAAAATTATTTTTAAAAAAAAGTTTTTTTTTTTTTTTCATTTGCAATGGTTAATACCTATATATATTCATGTATCTTTAGTTTCTGTTGTTTTCTGGTTCTATGTAACGCTGTTTTTCATTACAGACTATTCTTTTGAGCGTGAACATGCAGGACTGCGCCGTATCGCTGGATATGGTGTGACGATAACTCGAGGAGCTGCCAGTGCTATGATGTTTACATACTGTCCACTACTCATCACTATGAGTCGCAACTTGATCACATTCTTCCGGGAAACTTTTCTGCATCGCTTCTTCCCCTGGGATTCGATGCACTTCCTGCACAAGTATATTGCATTCTGGGCTCTCCTTTTCACAAGTAAGTCCAAGGTTACAAGAAGGTCATTCAGATATATAAGAGAATGATGGGGATATACAGCAAGGAGTTGCAAATTAAATGAGATTTGAAACAAGTGAATTTAATTTAAAACATTCCAGGTTATTTGCAATGAAGCATTACAGTTCAGGGTTCATAGATCAATGTAACAGAGGTTAATGTAAAAGGTCAAATGTTAAAGGTCATCTGGGAGAATGATGTGGAAAGGAAGAGTAGGTTGTTTTTTAAAGTTATCTTGTGTATTAAAGAAGGATTGAGATTATTTTTTCAACAAACTTAGCAAGTTTTACATTGACAGTCTTACTTACGCTATTATGGAGGACACAATATATAATGAATATCACGATGCATTCAGTAGGATGTCGATCAATCATTTATTAGCTCACCTGGTCCGAAGGACCATGGTAAGCTTATGCCATACCGCAGCGTCCGTCGTCCGTCCGTCAACTTTTCCTTTAAAACATTACTAGTCATGAATGACTGAGAAGATTTTGACCAAATTTGGTCAGAAGCATCCTTGGGGGGAGGGGAACAAATGTTGTATATTGGGGCCCAATAGGTGAAACATAGCAAATTCTTTAAAATCCTTCTTCTTCCGTAAGAATATTGAGGTTTCTCTTGTGAAACCAATTTCTATTATAAATACTTACCACAGTCATTATAATGCATATTCCAACCTTACTTGGCTCTTTACATAAGTAAATAAAGATTTTTTCCCCCCATGGGGAACCCCTGGGAAACCCACCGATCAGACGGCAGTATTCACACACGTGATAAGACACGAAGCCATGCTTCCCACTTCATAATTCCAAAGCCCAAAAAAGTGAGAGCCAAGGAGACAAGGGGAGGCTGGGAGGGAACTCACCTAATGACTGTGGTAAGTATTTATAATAGAAATTAGTTTCACAAGAGAAACCTCAATTCTATTTCAAAATACGTTACCACAGTCATTATAATCCGAATTCGACTTAGTGCAGTGGTGTCTCCGTGGAGGAAAAATTCAAAATACCTGATTACGACCAGCGTTCCGGATCACGCGGAGAAGACATAATGAGGCTTATGTAAGAGGGAGGACAGACAACGGACTGGGCAGCCACAAGAGGGCCCAAAGAATACAATCCGTCAGACTGTCCCGACAAAGATCGGAGATAGAACTCCGTAAACGTAGAATGACCCCTCCAAACAGCAGCTGTCCTGACCTCAGTGTAAGAAGAACCATTAAATAAGGCCCACGAAGTAGCTAAAGCGCGAACCTCATGAGCCCTAACCCCTGACACCCGCAAGGACTGATCCCCTGCCGACTCATACGCAGCTCGAACAGTCTGAACAATCCAACGTGAGATGGTTGCTGCTGAGATATCGGAGCGACCGGGCTGGAGAGACCGGAACAGCCGAGACGAGGGTCCCCCCCCCCCCCCCCCTCTGTTCTGGCCAAGTAGTAACGCAAGGCCCGAACTGGGCAGAGCAGGCGATCAGGACAATCCCCATCCAGAGTTGAAGCCAAAGAAGGGATAACCACAAACCCTGGGGTGAAACCGGGAACCTGGGTCTTAGCTAAAAAGGAGGGATCAGTGGTCACTGAGACCGAAGAATGGCCAGCCGAAAAACGAAGGCAAGAAGGAGATCTGCTGAAAGCATGAATCTCGCTTCTGCGGCGTCCGGAAGCAAAGGCTATCAAGAACACAGTCTTGAAAGTAAGAAACTTCAAATCCATCGACTGGAGGGGCTCGAATGGCGCCCCAAACAAGGAATCTAGCACAAGTGCTAAATTCCACCTAGGGACCAATTGAACGAGGCTTCTCAATGTAGAAGCCCCTAATGAGAGCAGACAATGAAGCGTCCGAGCCCACAGACCTGCTACCATAGAAAGCCAGCACACTAGCAATGGCTGAACGATAGCCTGCAATAGTTCAAGGAGACCGACCTTTGTCCCGGAACAGAGACAAAAGAAAGTCGGCTACAACGGGAACAGAGGCAGAGACTGGATCAATCGACTGTCCGACACACCAATCACCGAAGGCGGACCATCGAGACCCTTGGACACAACCCCTAGGGCCCAACTGTCTGATGTGATTTCTCTCCACTGAGGAACGAAATGGGACAGCCGACCGCCTACTGGCAAGTCCGGAAGGGGCCAATCTAGCCCTTCCCAAACCACATCGGCGGAGCCTCCCGCGCCCAAGGGGGTGGGAGCGGCGACAGACAGTGGACAAGGAGTTCGCAAGGGCAAGGAAGAGTTGGGAACCCTTCCTACCTCTGGAAAATTACCCCTATGGGAACCCCTACCGCGGAAGGAAGATTTCCGACGTTCTGCCGGAGCGGAAGTCGGAGGGGCAGCCTGCTGCTGAAAAGCAGTCGTCTTTGCCCTCTTCCTCCTACGCCTGGAGGAGCCAGAAGCCTGCCTCTTCCTGCTAGCGCCCTTGCCTGCGGAGTTGTGGCGTGCATCCTCAGATGCAAACGGGTCCAACATCATCTCAGATTGCACTGAGGGAAGGACCCCGCCAAACAAATCCTCGCCAGTCAAGGGAGCCTCCAAAAGGGTAGCCCGATAGGAATCGCCGACTGGCAGTCCAGAAAGGACCGACAACCGGCGGGCAACAACAAGGTGTGACATGGCAGCCGACAGTAAGGCCATCGCATCAAGATGTGCCTTGCAAATTGCCTGGCTGAGGCGCTCCATCAGTCCAACCTTGCTGGGGAGCTGCTCCACCGACTTGCAGCTCGCAGCCAGCAACGCAGAAGTAAACCAGTCTGCGTAGGACAGAACATGGAGAGCCAGCCTAAGGAGACGCTCCAACTTAGAGTGCTCCCTAGGCCCCATCACAACCTGGTCAACACAGCGTCCCGGCCACTTATCCAGATCCCTCTCAAGGGAAACAGAATTAGGGGCCAAGACTGGGTCGTGGATGCGGTACGTATCTGCAGCTAAATCTGCGATGTCGGCAACCACGACCTGTAAAGCCAAAAAGGGAAAAAGGCTTGCGAGCCTTGCTCACCTTCTGTTTTAATAAAGCGTTGACCTGAGCGAGGGACGAAGCCACGCCTCGTCCCTCCGCAAGAGACCTAGCAGAGGCCGAGGAGGCAGATGCTAGGGGAGGCAATATGCTCTGAAGGAGCGAAGTGCGCTCCGGGACGGCCAAATCCGTGGAAGGGCGTGGGCAAACCCCGTCCCCCAGAAGCTTCATAACTTCTGCACGTAAAGTGCGAAACGAAGCCGAAACCTCTGGAGGCACCGGATCAGCATCTCGGGGCCGGGATTGGGACACATCAGAAGGGCCTTCCGAGTCCAACCCAGACGATTCCAACGACTCCAAATCAGAGCCAGTAAACTCGCCGACTCTATCCTCATCCCGAGTCTCCCTAAATTGGAGCAACCAGGAGAGCCCCGAAGAACGTCCCTCTCATCACTAGGAGAGGCACCCGCCGAATCCACCTCCATCAACGTCGCCCACCGAGGAGGGGTGCGAGGAAGGGAAAGAGAACATGACCTACCCGATGGAACTATCGGGGCAAGCGATAGTCCCTGAGAGACAGCAGGAACAGGATCAAGAGACCCTGGAACCTGCTGTAAGGTAGGAGTTGACACAGGACAGCGGAAGTTACTGGTAGACTTGAATTCCAAAATAGGAGCTCGAGCCAACGCAGCACGACCAGCAGCCCTAGCATCACGCGGTCTCTGCCTGACAGAACCGGCAGCAGAAGCTGGCCGGGAGCCTGAACGCTTACGCAAACGGCTCGGTGGCGGATGGAGGGGGGGACCCATCGCCGCAGGCAAGAAGGCGGGGGGGCATATCCAGGGTGGAAACCCATACCACCCTGGGNCCCTGCAAATAGGTGGGATAAACCAGGGAGGACCCTGGAACAGAGCCACCAACCTGATGCCCGAAACCGGAGGCAGGACCGGTTTGGGGGGGCGGGGTAGGGAACCTAGGGCCACCTACACACTCGCCGCCATAAGCCACACCTGGCTGACCTGACCAACTCCACCCAGACTGACCTACAGCAGGGCCAAAACCTGTAGGGCCAGTAAAACAAGCCCCACCAGGGGAGCAGCGTGCACTGGCAAAACCAAACGCAGCTGCGCTGGCCCCTACCATAGGAAAACCTGGGGAGGAGGCATAAGGGATAGAGCTGGGAGCATAGGTTTTACACCAGTGCTCACACCACCGTAAAATCCAGCCGGGGCTAGCGAGGCCGAGGCATCACTTACCACCAGACCGGGCAGCAAATGCTGCACAGTGGTGGACGGCGTGCTAGACGCCATCACCACGCCAGGGACTACATCAGGGATGCAAGGAACCCCGGGAGTAGACAAAACTGCCGGGGGCCGGTCTCCGACACCAACACCCTCAGGAGTGGAGTGGACCGGCAGGAGGCCACCAACAGAAGCATCCGCTGACACAACATGGCTGGCCTGTTAAACATTCCCAAGGGAATGTTGGGCCACCTGCCCTCCCACCATAAATTGGGAGAGAAGGCCGCCCCCCCTGTCCCCTAGTTACCGTGGTGACCGGGACAGAGCCCAAACCCTCACCCACGTCGACCGACAAACGGAAGGGGGGTTGAGAGAAAGGTCCGGGTCCAATGAAACAAATTGTTTCACAACGGCCCCGGTACGGGCCGAAACCGCCGAAACAAACCCCAGGGAAGACTCAACAGAGGTCGAAATTCCGCTGGTGTTCTCCGAGGGCTTAGGCCTAGCCTTAGCCCTCGCCCCACCCCTACCCCTCCTACCCCTCCTACCCGACTTACCTGCACGCCCTCGCGGGCGGAGAGAACCACCAGCAGGAGTCAGCTGCCAGGCACGGCAAATTTCACACGGCTGCTCCAGAGAGCAAGACCGACAGCCAGGACAGTAAGGGTGGGGGTCGGAAGCCTCAAATAAATGACCCCCAGGACAGCGCCTTTGAGAAGGAGGAGTCTCCATCTCAAAGTAAACAAACCGTCAAAACGCGAACACATGGCCGGAGCCTGGTCACAAAACGGCGCAAAATAAAGCAAAACGCTAAATTAAAACAAAATAAAGTTATGTAGTATTAAAGGATACGATATGTATGGGTACAAACAACGCCTGTTGCAGTTGGAACCCCGTAGAAACCAAAACACGTCCGTAAACACGGCCGGCTGAAGGAATTATGAAGTGGGAAGCATGGCTTCGTGTCTTATCACGTGCGTGAATACTGCCGTCTGATTGGTGGGTGTCCCAGGGGTTCCCCATAGGGGGGGGAATTCTTTATTTACGTATGTAAAGAGCCAAGCAAGGTTAGAATATGCATTATAATGACTGTGGTAACGTATTTTGAAATAGTAAAAGGATTTGTTCCATATTTGGCATGAAGCATCCTTGGGTGAAGGTGAACCAATTTTGTATAAACGGTGGGTCTGGCCCCCCATGGGCCTGAGGGGTGGGGCACAATAGGGGAAACATAGTAAATTCTTTAAAATCCTTCTTCTTCTGTAGGACTGAAAGGATTTGGTCCATATTTGGTCTTAAGCATCCTTGGGTAAAGGGGAACCTATTTTGTATGAACTGTGGGTCTGGCCCCCCTAGGGGCCTAAGGGGCGTAGCCCAATAGGGGAAACATAGCAAATTATTCTTTAAATTCCTCCTTCTTCTGTAGGAATGAAAGGATTTAGTCCATATTTGGTGTGGAGCATCCTAGGGTAAAGGGGAACAAATTTTGTATAAACGGTGGGTCTTACCCCCCCCCACCCCCCCACCCCCCCTTGGGGCTGAGGGGCATGGCCCAATAGGGGAAACATAGCAAATTCTTCAAAATCCTTCTTCTTCTGTAGGAATGAAAGGATTTGGTCCATATTTGGTTTGGAGCATCCCTGGGTGAAGGGGAACCAATTTTGTATAAACGGTGGGTGTGTAGCCCCCCTGGGACCTGAGGGGTGGGGCCCAATAGGGGAAATAGAGGTAAAACCTTTATAATCCTTCTTCTACCATAGGGAATAAGGGATTTCTTCCCAATTTGGTCTGGAGGATCTTCGGCAAAATTAAGGGACTCAATTTTGTATAAACAGTGAGTGTGGCCTCCCTGGGGGCAGAAGGGTGGGCCCGATAAGGGAAACATAGCAAATTCTTCAAATACCTTCTTCTGTACGAATGACTGGATTTTATCCTTATTTAGTCTGGAGCATCCTTGGGCCAAGGGGACTCAATTTTGTATAAACGGTGGATATGACCCCCTAGGGGCATAGGGGTGGGGCTCTGTTTGAAGTTTGTTCTCGCTATATCTCAAGTACTGGATGGATCTTTCTAAAATTTCATATGTACTTACAGCACCTAATCTTTACTTCATACCAATTATCTTAAACATATTCAGGTGAGCGATACAGGCCCTCTGGGCCTCTTGTATATATTATATAGAGGACAAGTAAAACAATAGCTATGTATCATACTGTATTACATGAATGTAGTCATTATATTATACATCACATTCATTGTATTACACTAATGTTATCATTACATACATTGTATTGCACTAATGTTATCATTACATACATTGTATTACACTAATGTTATCATTATATACATTGTATTACATGAATGTAGTCATTATATTATACATCACATTCATTGTATTACACTAATGTTATCATTATATACATTGTATTACACTAATGTTATCATTACATACATTGTATTACACTGTGATACTGCTGTATTTTCAGTGGTCCATGTCGTTGGTCACAGTATCAATCTGTACCACATCTCCACGCAGTCCTCCGGGGACCTCAACTGTATATTCCGTGAATACTTCAGAGCGTAAGAAACATTTAATCTGTCAACTTTGTTTCAGTTTATTTCAAAATAACTCAACAGTCTTTGATATCAGTTCCGTGTTGATTCACACTTCAAAACAAAAATGATCAAATTTGATGTCTTCTTAGGAAAATTTAAAGTTTTAATTTAAATTTGTTTTAGGGAAATTGCTATCAATTCAGAAAAGAAATTAAGCAAACAAAAAATGTTCTATTGAAATTTCAGGCAAGACGAACTAGCAACTTTTCACTACTGGGCATACACAACTATCACAGGTAAATCATTTCAAAATATTTAGTGTAAACATTTTTATATGCATGAGCATAAATATTGTAGTACATGTACAGGAAAAATAAAACTGCATTATTAGTTAGAAATATTCAAGACATCAGAATAATTTAATAACTAATTAAACAATAAAGTTTGAATATCAGGTGGTTTACTCAATGAAACAAATCAATCATCTTTGATATAATCTAAAACTGGCTGAATTGGTTTTAACTGGATAATTAGTGAAAGGATTGGTGGTGACAGATATTAAGTAGTCATATTTAGTCATAACAGGATTAGTAACTCAGCAGTATTTATGTAGTAGGGGCTGAAAATTGCACGGCAAGACTGGGATTTGAACCCGTAACCCTACCAATTGATCGTGAGCTTCCTGGTTGCTGGCAAATGACCCAGTCTAGTTCCACTACATTTGTTTCATTTATAGTTTCACTCGGGTGACAGTTTCGGCCCATATGCCTCTTGTTTTAAATAATATATTTTCATTTTGAAGAGAAGGTAACCGTGAAAACATCTTGTTTTAAATGAAGAATTTTCATTTTGAAGACAAAATGTACTTGTAGTTACATGATAAGCTATGATACTAAATATATTATTTTGTTTTGAAAATCCACAGGACTCACAGGAATTATTTTAACCTTGATAGTCATCACTATGTATGTCTTTGCAATGCCATACGCTCGTCGCTACGTATTCAACGCTTTCTGGATGACCCACAAGTTCTACGTACTGCTATACATCTTCAGTATCATGCATGGCTCTGGGCGTCTTGTCCAACCACCCCTGTTCTGGCTGTACTTCCTCCCTTGTCTCTTCATTTTCATCCTCGATAAAATGATCAGTGTTAGTCGCAACAAGATCCAGATTGCTGTTGTCTCTGCAGACCTCTTACCCTCAGGTATGTATCTCAAAGCATTGTGCAGTATATCTTCTGTTAACTGCATTAATTACATTTACATGTTGTTCAGAATAATAAAAATCTATCTTAAAGTCGAGAGTGTTTGACAGCCAGTGTTTGAACCCCAGTCTATTGGACATACAGAGGTAATCTGATTGGTAATTGTTGATTATCATGGCTATCTAGCTTGAGTTACTTGTTAATATAGAAATGTGTAGTACACTTTGCGTGAAATAATTACACTGTGAGCTAGTAATATATGTAATGGTATATTTAATACATAATAATTATAATAACATAGCATGTACATATGTACAACCATCTTCCAATATCAAATGTCAGGTAATAGCAACTAAAAGGTCATGATACCATTACTGAAAAGGTCATGGTACCAATAAAATGGTCATGATACCTTTGCTGCAGCACAGTTAGGCCTAAGGATACAGATATCTGGTATTTTGCTGTATGACAGTATGGTCACAAATTCAGGATATGGTCCGGATCCGTTCTACTGTACAGAGATTAACACCAGCAGACAATATTGCAAGGACCAATCCATTTTCAGGCTTCACACTCCAAGGTCCTTTTTTACAAATCTGGTTCAATTGTTTCAACAAGTTAAATCTGGGGGGGATAATGGCAGGCTCAGGTCTGAACAGAGGCTGGCCTCTGCAAATTTCAGCATATATGTGCATATTGAAGGGTCCAGATGTGTGTGACCGAAACCTAAAGGTTGAATGTCCCTATTTTGCACTATTTCTACATAAAACAATGTTGATTTACATTTATAATTTAGGACTTGTTATAAGATTTAGCACACACATGAAAGTAGTACAAATTATATTTGATTTATTGAAAAAAAAATTCACAAAAAAACCCAACAACTACACTTTGAGCCCTGTTAGGTTATTAAATTGCATGGCCCATGAACTGTTTCAACCGAGATACATGAAAGTAAACTTTGTCATAAATTAATGTCAACATTAAAATAAGTGTTTGCTTGTTCAGCCCATGATTTTTTTCAACTGATGAATATGATTATAATGAAACTACAGAGACATATTTCATCACTAGGAAGGGTGACAGATTTGACATATCAGCAAGAATCTTTGTCCTGAAACAAAAATGTGTTTTAACCCTTTCACCCCTATGTAACTAATTATTACTTAAGGAACTAATTATTACCATACATTGATATGGATGAGTCCATTATGGTCTACAGTGGTGAAAGGGTTAATATTTAACAAAGTTTTCAGAGTATTGCATCTTGATTTAGTTTATAATATAGATTGATTTCCTTAATTTCAGATGTGATAGCTCTAGTTTTCAAACGACCTGCAAGTTTTGAGTACAAGTCAGGTCAATGGGTTCGGATTGCCAGCCTCGACCTGGGTAAGAGAGAGTACCATCCTTTCACTTTGACCTCTGCCCCCCATGAGGCACATCTCAGTCTGCACATCCGCGCTGTGGGACCCTGGACCACCAACATTCGTGAACTCTATGACCCTGACCAACTGGAATACAAGAAGTACAAGCTTCCCAAGGTAAGGTATACAAATTATTATACCCCCCGTAACAAAGTTAGGGGGGTATACTTGAATCACCCTGTCTGTCTGTCTGTCTGCCATCCACAGTAACTTGTCTGGAAAACTCCATCTTGACTAACAGGCAGATTTTATTGAAACTTGACTTGAATGATCAGTATATTAATATGTAGTTGTACACCGGCATTTTAATTTCTGATTTCAACACTTTTTAAGGGAGTTACGACCCTTTATGTGAAATTAGTTGTCTGGAAAACTTTATCTTAACTAACAGGCAGATTTTATTTAAACTTCACTTGGATGATCAGTATAATATGTAGTTGTGCACCGGCATTTTAATTTTTGATTTCAACACTTTTTAAGGGAGTTGCGACCCTTTATGTGAAATAACTTGTCCAGAAACCCCAAGTTCAAGGTCACTAAATGTTTTATAAACTATACCAGCATCTGCAGGTGGTATGAGTTAACCTTTGAATGACAGTTCTAATTGTCGCTCACTCACACAGAATGCAAAGAAAAGATTTTTTTAAATAGGTTCTTTAGAGGCATTGCCAGGTATGATGGTCTCAAGTGAAGATATTTCTTGGTAATATGCTCAGAAAATGATTTTTATTTCATGAAAGTAACTTAACCCAAATAAAGATTTTGAGAAATTCAGTATTCTGTTTTCAGATTCATGAAGGCTTAAACAAGAATCATAAATGGGGGAAAAAGTGAGAAGAAATCCTTATAAGGGCCAAACTTGTTTTAAGAACAATTTTTGAATTTCAAATTGATTGTACAAATGATGAGCTTATTTGATTGCAGCTATTTCTAGACGGCCCATATGGGGAGGGACATCAGGATTGGTACCGGTTTCAGGTGGCCATCTTGGTTGGTGGTGGAATCGGGGTCACACCCTTTGCCTCCATCTTGAAAGACATTGTCCATAAGTCAAAAACTGATGACTTTAGATTTTCATGCAAAAAGGTTGGTAGAAATACTTTATATACATGTAGTTATAATGATGTATATATATATATATATGTTCTTGCTGCTCCCATACTTGTAGATATAGAATAGACTTGTTCTAATTGTTAGAGACGAGTCATATACGTGGCTAATCCTAGGTATATATAGACATAGTTGTAATTATACACCGTCCTCCCACTTACCGTTAGTAATATTAATTTGGTGCAAGATATCTCATAAACCATGCTACAGATTTATTTCGTATTTACTCTAGAGTAGGGTAGCATCAAATTTGTCCAAATAGTTACCTTGATACACATGCAAAGTCACAGGATCAAATGTGTTAAAATCTTTAATTGACAACATGATGCATGTGGTCATGTTACTCAGACTTAAGCTTGTTTGGATAATGAGCAATCTTATTTGTTCTAATAAATTACCTTGATCTATATCAATAACCTTTATTTACTTACAGGGTCATAGGAGTAAATTGTTGACTTGCAAGAGTTAATTTAAATTGACCCTATGCCTGAAGTAATGGTCTTTTTGCTGGGATGAAGGGCTATCAATAAATGACATTTCTTTTCGAATAACTTCTATTCAAGTTTCCCTGAGAGTGATACAGGCACTATGGGCCTTTTGTTAAAAGAAATTTTGAAAGGTTTCAGAGGTATTGAATCAACAATTTCAGCACTTCCTGTATTCATGATCCTGTGGTGTTTTTTAGGTGTATTTCCTGTGGGTGACCCGTACCCAGAAACAGTTTGAATGGATGACAGAGATCATCCAGGAAGTTGAAAACAACGACTTGAAAAGCTTTGTCGATGTTCACATCTTTATTACACAGTTCAAGGAGAAGTTTGATTTCAGGACTACTATGTTGGTAAGAAATATATCAAACAGCTGGAAAATTATTACATTTCACACAATTTTTTTCAACATGTGTCTCACTTGATGTGTTTTAATTATTTATGCCGCAGCATTGTATCAGTTCTGCACCTAATAGAAATCTGATAATATTGGTCAAGGTTAAAGGGTTATCAAAGGTCACACTTGAACATGTATAAAAAAGAAGAGTGAGGAAAGGAAAAGATCAAACACTATATGGATCTAGTGAAGATGATGTGCACCAAGATCCCTCTAAAGTCTCCTGTTTTGTTATTCCTTTTGCTGTATTATTGCTGTATTATTAATTTGCGGTTCAACCCTCCACTAATTACAAAAGAAGTACCTTGCAGGTAATGATGCATTTGATAGCACCTTTGTTGTATATTTGTTTCTCCTGTACTAGTGATTGCAGCATTTTCATGCCTCAACAACTTAGTGGAAACGGCATATAAAAGCTGACAATGCAAATATCCAGTGTCACTTTATCTTTCACCTACTGTATCTAAGAAGCACCGACATTTCAGTTTATTCTTGCATGGTAACAAATATAGGCTGCCCTGGTAAAAAAAGCACATTACCAGTCAAATTCAACCAGCACTCTCGTTTTTATTAAATCATTGGTTTTATTTTGTTAATATTTTGCTCTCATTTGTGATAACGATGTCTTCAAATTCCAGAATCTTCATGTAATCAAAAAGGAAAGTTCAAAATAGAGAAAAGTGTACTATTCTACAGATGTTTCACCTAAAATGTTGTTGCTTCTTTCCACACAATTGCTAGAAGAGAAAGCCACAGGGAGACACATCAGAAGCAGTCTAAAACACTCTGATGAGATTTGTTTGTGAATTCCAATACACTTAATTAAAAGTCCAACAGTCACCAAGATTCTTACATAGATATATTATATGCAAATTCATCTTCCACTTTTGTTCCGACTAGTTATATCTTTGTTCCTTCAGTACATCTGAGAGCAGCATTTGTATGTTTTACACTCATTTTCTAGTTTAATCTATGTTTCTTCAGTACATCTGTGAGCAGCAATTGTATGATTTACGTACATTTCTTGTTTTGTCTTTGTTCCTTCACTACATCTGCGAGCGACATTTGTATGATTTACGTACATTTCTTGTTTCGTCTTTGTTCCTTCAGTACATCTGCGAGCGACATTTGGGTGATTTACGTACATTTTCTTGTTTTGTCTTTGTTCCTTCACTACATCTGCGAGCGACATTTGTATGATTTACGTACATTTCCTTGTTTTGTCTTTGTTCCTTCAGTACCTCTGCGAGCGACATTTGTGTGATTTACGTACATTTTCTTGCTCTGTCTTTGTTCCTTCAGTACATCTGCGAGCGACATTTGTATGATTTACGTACATTTCCTTGTTTTGTCTTTGTTCCTTCAGTACCTCTGCGAGCGACATTTGTGTGATTTACGCACATTTTCTTGTTTTGCCTTTGTTCCTTCAGTACATCCGTGAGCAGCATTTGTATGATTTACTTACATTTTCTTGTTTTGTCTTTGTTCCTTCAGTACCTCTGCGAGCGACATTTGTGTGATTTACGCACATTTTCTTGTTTTGCCTTTGTTCCTTCAGTACATCCGTGAGCAGCATTTGTATGATTTACTTACATTTTCTTGTTTTGTCTTTGTTCCTTCACTACATCTGCGAGCGACATTTGTATGATTTACGTACATTTCCTTGTTTTGTCTTTGTTCCTTCAGTACCTCTGCGAGCGACATTTGTGTGATTTACGCACATTTTCTTGTTTTGCCTTTGTTCCTTCAGTACATCCGTGAGCAGCATTTGTATTATTTACGTACATTTTCTTGTTTTGTCTTTGTTCCTTCACTACATCTGCGAGCGACATTTGTATGATTTACGTACATTTCCTTGTTTTGTCTTTGTTCCTTCAGTACCTCTGCGAGCGACATTTGTGTGATTTAAGTACATTTTCTTGTTTTGTCTTTGTTCCTTCAGTACATCCGTGAGCAGCATTTGTATTATTTACGTACATTTTCTTGTTTTGTCTTTGTTCCTTCACTACATCTGCGAGCGACATTTGTATGATTTACGTACATTTCTTGTTTTGTCTTTGTTCCTTCAGTACATCTGTGAGCGACATTTCCAGAAAGTGGCCGGGAAGAGTTTATTCACTGGTCTGAGTGCCACCACCCATTTTGGCAGACCACAGTTTCAAGACATCCTCAGGTCTATAGGCACTGAACACCCTAAGGTACAGAATAGTCTTAACTTGTTATAGATAATAAGTGCTCACTTAAGGTATACGGTAAATATTCATGTATAGTGCACACTTTTTTAAGGAAATATAAAATTGTCAAGAAAGGGGTGTGCACTATACACAAAAACAATCCAAAACCAGTCATTGGTCGCGACCATTTATCTCAACTTTTTCGGGGTTTTGGGGAAATGTTTTGAAGTATGCTAGTACAAGCTGTATAACGTATTATTAAGGACAACAAAAATGCAAATATAGGGTACGGAACAACCATGTTATAGAAAACTTTAAACATAGCAATTTTAATTGATTTCTCTTTATCACATCTGATCTATCTGAATGTATTGTTACCATTTAATGGACATATTGGTGACTTGATTGTTATACAATTTTAATTATATTGATGATATATAAGGCAGCCTTAGTTTCTGTTCAGGCTTACTGTTGAGACTTTAGGATATATGTATAAATAGTCAGGGTCCATGAAGAGCTTGTACTAATTATTTCCCAGTGTTTTCGTCTTCCTATTGACAGGTTAATCGTGTTGGGGTGTTCAGCTGTGGTCCACCTCCAATGACCAACACTCTGGACAAGGCCTGCTCCGACCTCAACAAAATACAGGGTACCTTATTCAAACACCACTTTGAGAACTTTTAGAGGGAAAGAAATACAGTGCGACATACATATGAGACCACTCCTTTTGCCAACAGACAAAGATTTCTAATATGGAACATGTCCAGGAGAGTACCTTTCCTACTGTTTAAAACGATACACTTTCAGGACAGGAATTTTACTGTCCTAAAAGAGGTGGTCAATCCAGGCGAGTTCTGTTTTATTAGAAAGTCCAAGTATTCAGATATTTAAATAGAAATTCATTTTAAAGAGTTTGAGTCTTGCGTTCAGAGCAAGACCATATCCTATTCACTGATTGAATATGTCTATTTAAACATTAAATAAAATCACAACATTCAGATTTTAATCTTTTACTCTGATTAATGTTTAAAATCAGAAAATTAATCATATCTTGCATAAAAAGTAGAACTGTTTCATGATAGCAAATACAAGCATGCATCAGCAAATTTTAAAACTCATCCATTTGAACAGCCATTGACTAATTACACTTACAAATTAAAAACAAAATTGTACTATGCTTTATGTTAAAATGATAATTATACAATTTTATATGTAAACTGATGAAAACAAAAGGGATTCTTGGAAAGTCTGATCCTTATGTAAACATGTTTCAAAATGATTTGAATTTAACCTTACTTTGTAGTTGGGGTTCATGAAAGTTGGTGAAACAGAGATATATAAGAGACTAAAAATGATACTTAAAGCTATATATACATATATGGAATATATATATTTATTCATATATGGGTCAAATGGGTTAGGTGCATAGTTCACCACCTCCATTAAATTAGCAGTATGAATATGGAGCCTTGTGGATTTCATATTTTTCAGAAGGAATAACTTTTAAGTCATGGACTCATAATTGGCTTGTAACTTCAGAAATTCTGAAATATTGTACTCATTTAGAATTTTAAAATATAGCAATATGTGGGACAAATATCAATTTTATTTCTAGACTCGCCAAAAAGAAATCATCCTAAAGTACTTGCTGTATGAAAATTGTAGTTTTATTTAAGATAATGCAGATAGCTGCCTATAGGATTTTGTTGTATCAAGGTTTGTAACCTTAGTGACAAAGTAAGATATAGTTTGAACTAATGATATGTATATACATATATATTTTTTTTTAATTTGAAATTTATTGTTATCTCCTCAGATTCAAAATGATTGACTTTGGTAAAGGCAAATATATACGTACTCATATTTCTACAAAACTTTAAAAAAAAAAAAAAAAAAACCACCTTTACTTTCATGTCATCAAATTAACGAATTTATACATTACTGGACTTATAGAGAGATATAGCAACCTTACAGGTAAAGATACATGTAAGCTACACATCCATTTACACTTACAATACTAACTCCATGATAACATGTCGGTTCACGTGTACTTGTAACATGCATGCGTACAGTATAACATGGTGTCTAATTCCATCCATTCTTTTGACAAATGCAATTTAACAAAGCCAATGGCAAAATGCATAACAAAATATGTTATACTGTAACGCTATACTGTAAGTATGTTGGGGCCTCATTTCAAATGCAATAGAAATTTGGGTGGTTGGGTGGCATAGTGGATAACATACTCGCCTTTTCCAAAGGCGGCCGAGATTTGATTCCCCGATCAGACTTGAAAATTTAGTAAGTTCATTTACATATTTCAAATGCAACATTCGCACGTAAATATTAGTTGAATGTTGGCCATTTATAGTTTTGAAGAAGACACGCCATCATAACGTTTTGTATCAGTAATGGTTTCATTCATAAGTTTTGGAATTTAAAATAATATTTTACACATGAGTACTTAATTACTTGTATGTCGCCAACCAACTTGTATGTCTGGAAAAAGCCTTGAAGTTATGTACACTTGTATAAAGGGAGTTCCCCCTACATTTACACGTACAAGTTCATGTAAGGTTGCTAAACCTCTCTATTTTGAATATGAAAAGTGCTCATTAAAAGAGAAACTGTGATTGAATAATAGGATTTACAGCTTCTCCAAGTCATGCAAGAATTGATGGTTGATTGGTCTAGTGGACTCCTTTTAAATATATATTTTTGTGCCAGAAAAATTGTAATAATAGGAGTATTAAATTAACTGAAATGTTACCATATCAAAAATTTACTATTAAATAGACATCTATATTTACTGTGTTATGTTTTTCTGATAAGGTAGAAACAGTAAGGATATAATATTAATGTATACAATGATCAAACATGAATTTTTTGTTCAAGTAATCTTCAATTGCAAATCATTTTGCTTGCGATACAAAATATGATTTAATTTTATGAACTTTTTTACATTAACAGAAATTTTGCCTGCCATCTTCAAATTTAAATCATAATTCGTGTACATTGTAACTAAAATATCAATCAAAGAAAGATACATATTTTTAACACTTAGCAGTAATACACCATGAACAGGAACTAACTGGTACATTAGATGGAATCCACTGTACATAATGATTTCTAGTAAGCAAGCTGCATGTATCCATTAAATTGTAACATTGTTAATTGTAAACTTAATTAAATGTAAATTGGACCTGTATGTATTCAATATCTTATATAGTTGAGTAATTGTTTGATTCTGTACATTATCTTTAAAACTTTGGCATTATATGTATTGAGTATAGTTCATGTGTGTTTGATCTATAGTCCCTTTATAATTATGAGTACATGCAGTTTTGGATGTAAATTTAATTTAAAATGTTTATGAAGTAATTATTATGTCTCCCCTTCGAATGAAGGGAGACATATTGTATTAGTACTGGTTCTTCTTCTTCTTCTGGTTCTTCTAATCTGACTTGTCCGGGCCATAACTTTTCAACCGTTATGGATATCTTGATGAAACTTTAGGTATGCATGCATCACCCACAGGAGGTGTGCAGTTCACTAGAATTTGGTCACTGTGACCTTCACAGGTCAAAGGTCAAATAAGTGCACATTTTCAGTAAATTCTTGTCCGACCCGTAAATTTCAAACCGTTAATGATATCTTAATCAAACCTGAAGTATACCTGCATTACCCACAGAAGGTGTGCAGTGCACTGGAACTAGGTCTCATGCCCAACTATATACAGAGTTATGGCCCTTTGTTTAATTTTAATACCGAAGTTTGTCCAGAGCATAAGTTCTATGTTATTTCACCTACGTTGACCATACTTACCATATTTATGTATCTTGGGAAGACGAAATTTCTCACATCAGATTTTATACCCCACTATATACAGAGTTATGGCCCTTTGTTTATTTTTAATATCGAAGTTTGTCCACGGCATAACTTCTAAACCATTAAAGATAACTTAATCAAACTTGAAGTATCCCCCCATCATTCACAGAAGGTGTGCAGTGCACTGGAATGAGGTCTCCTGCGACACTATATACAAAGTTATGGCCCTTTGTTTAATTTTAACACCGAAGTTTATCTACAGCATAACTTCCATGCTATAAGGGCCCCGCATCGAAGATGCGGGTGCCCTATACTAATTCATCCGTCTGTCCGTCACAATCAAACAAGGTATCAACTGACCAAATATTAAGGTCACTGTGTCAAAGGTCAAGGTCAAATTTTGTATCATTTCCCTAATGAACATTTTGTTATGACATTATGAAGCAAAGTTGGTTGGGATTTAACAAAGAGCCAGTTGACTTAAGGTCAAGGTCACTGGATCAAAGGTTAAGGTCAAATTCAGTATCGTTTCACTGGGAAACATTTTGTTATGACACTTTGAAGCAAAGTTTGTTGGAATCAAACAAGGAGTCAGTTGACCAAAGATGAAGGTCAAAGGTGACGGTTACATTTTGTATCTTTTCACTGGTGAACATTTCGTTTTGATACTTTGAAGCAATGTTGGTCAGTGTTAAACAAGGAGTCAATTGACCAAAGGTCAAGGTCACTGGGTTAAAGATCAAGGTCAAATTTTGTATCTTTTCTCTTATGAACATTTTGTTATGACACTTTGAAGCAATGTTGGTCGGAATTAAACAAGGAGTCATTTGACTAAAGGTCAAGGTCACTTGGTCAAAGGTCAAATTTTGTATCTTTTCACTGATGAACATTTTGTTATGAAATTTTGAAGCAAAGTTGGTTGGAATTTAACAGGGAGTCAACTGACTTAAGGTCAAGGTCACTGGGTCAATTTCAAGGTCAAATATTGTAGTTTAGGTTTATAAAAATAATAAGCCAATAGAGGAACCAGATTACAATCTGCTGAAACTTGTTAAGACAATTTAACATGAACCAGAATAGTTTAAAAATTTAAAGGTTTAGAATTTACACACCTTAATCTTGATGTGACCTTTCTATTCTTCCAAATATGCATATTGGCTAATAAGGGGAGACATATGTTTTTGTTCACAAAAACAAATTTCTAGTTCCTTATTGGTATTGCTAAAAAAAAAAGGAAGTATATACCATTATACATTTAGTCGATTGTTTGAGAAAGAGACTCAAATCATTTCTATAAAGATTAGCAAAAACACATTCTACGCTTTCTTCACCCAGACCTGTAATATGTTTTTAGGTCACCTGAGCTTTAGCACTTTAGAACTTAAAGTCAAGTTCTGCTGGGCCGATTGAACTGAAAGTTGATAGGAATGATCGCCTCATGGTCCTGACAAAGTGTTGTTATTTTTCGGGTCGATCAGAAATCCAATATGGCCGCCACGGCCGCCATTTTGAAAACCTATTTCAAACTTAAAGTCAAGTTCTGCTGGACCGATTGAACTTAAAGTTTGTAGGAATGATCGACTCATGGTCCTGACAAAGTGTTGTTATTTTTCAGGTCAATCATAAATCCAATATGGCCGCCACGGCCACCATTTTGAAAACATATTTCAAACTTAAAGTCAAGTTCTGCTAGGCCGATTGAACTGAAACTTTGTAGGAATGATTGACTCATGGTCCTGACAAAGTGTTGTTATTTTTCGGGTCGATCAGAAATCCAATATGGCCACCACGGCTGCCATTTTGGAAAACTATTTCAAACTTAAAGTAAAGATCTACTTGGCCGATTGAACTGAAACTTTGTAGGAATGATCGAATCATGGTCCTGACAAAGTGTTGTTATTTTTCGGGTCAATCAGAAATACAATTTGGCTGCCATGGCCGCTATTTTGCTACTAAGTTCTAATAGGCCGATCTCACTTAAAATTGGTCTAGGAATGATCAGCTCATGGTCCTGACAAAGTTAAGTTAACATTATACTATTTTTTACTCAAATTGGTACATATTTCAACAACAAAAATAAATACTATAGACTCAGGTGACCGTTAAGGCCCATGGGCCTCTTGTCTTGAAATGTTTGGCTCTCCAAAATTGACATCAGAAATCACCTAAATACTGTAATCAGTTCATGTATTTTGTCAGAAAATTCAAGCAAACCTAGGTCTGTAACCATACTTCAGTGGGTGCCAATGCATAAATGCATATCCTTTCTATGGTACTCAAGGATCCAATATAACACTTAATCTCTGTGC